TAGCCCAGAGCAATCAACAGGAAAGAAAATCATATCAGAGGAAAGTGGTTAAGAAAAATGATATGGCATAAAGTGTTTTAATCTATACTATACTGCTTAAATACAGAATTTTGGGGAAGCTAGCTATTATTTTGACTCTGTTCAAGTAAATGGTGTCATGCTACCTTCCATCAGTTTCCTAATCATTGGACCTTGAAATACTGGAGTCTGGATGAATTGGTCATCATGCCTGGTTGCCTTCTAGAAATCCAACCCTGTAGCATTCCTGAATCTATATTAAAAATAAGTTGGCTAGAGGCCAAGAGAGTTTGAGAACAAGGCCAATCTGGCAGTATGTAGAGGACAAAGACAGCTATTGAACTCTGGAGTTATTCATCATTTGGCATATTTGCACAGTTCCCTAGGACTATTTGACATTTGACATTCAGCGTATAGTTGTCTGGTTAAGTAGAAAGATCTGAGCTGAGAGAAGCCACTGGGATGTTGGTAAGATGAATGGGAGCATGGAGGAGATGACTGAGTGGGTGCATAGATGGGAAGGTGGTATCCAAGGAAGCCATTTGGGACTTATTAGAAGAGGTGGGGACATCATAATTCAGTCTATCTTGGTGTATTTAAGTCCTACGGATAGAAGATAAAGTCTATTTAAAGCTCAAAAAAAGTTAGAACTGATCTTTCTAGTGGAACCAAGAGAAAGTAAACCCATCCTGAGTTTTTCCAAATTAAATAATTCATTCATTCAAGAAATATCCATTTAGGTACAAGCACAGTGGGGAACATAAAGATATAAAAGATGCAGTCTTTGCCCTCAATGACCTTATAATCCAGTGTTGGAGTTGAGACATATATACACATAAATTAAAAAACAAGCCAGTCAATAAAATAAGTCCCATATGAGTGATATAAATAAACTTCAGAGGAGCAAGAGCTCATTCTAGTTGTGGTGCTTAGGGACCACTGTAAGGACAAGGATGAAGTATTTGAGTTGGGTCTTGAAGCATGGCTAAAATTCTGACAGCTGAAGATAATGGGGACAGCATTTCAGACATAGTACATGACATGGGCAAAGCAAAAAGGAAGATTTACATGTATGTGTGTGTGTGTGTGTGTGTGTAATTGCAAATACATCATTTTGGTTAAAGCATAAAGTTCATAAAGGGAAGCAGTAAAAGGAGATAATTGCTAGAAAGGCAGATTGGGGCCAGATTATGGAAGGCCTAAATACTATGTTCAGAAAAATGATGGGGTTTCCCACCCCCCCACGCCGAGGTCTATGTCATATGATTACTTTATGTATCCTTTAGCCTAGCCATACTGAACTACTTGCTGCTTTTCCCACCACTCTCTCTGCCTTTATTTGCACAGTTCCCTAAGACTAGAATAGCCTCCACCTACATTTCTATCTATTGGAATCTAAACCACCCTTCAAGGTTAAATTCAAATGCCACCTTCTCCACAATACCTTGTCCCAGCTATAAGTCATCTCTTCCTGTCCTGTGAACTTTCAAAGTACTTTTTTTTTTGTACCTCAGATTTTCATAGTCTATTTTGTATTCTCTTTAGTCTATACATTTCCATTTATTTGTGGACATGACTTATTCCCTACTACAAGACTGTAAGCAACTTGAGGGCACGGTTGGTCTAATCCATTATTGAACTGAACTATAGGTAAATGAATGGCCCAGGAAGGTTTTTAAACAGGGAGAAATGTGATCAGAGTGGTGATTTAGGAAGATAACATTTGATGGTAGTACAAAGGCAGCTAGGGATGCAGGGGATAGAGAGCTGGGCCTAAAGTCTGGAAGACCTCAGTTCAAATCTAGCCTCAGACACTTCCTAGCTATATGACCTAGAAAAGTCACTTAAGCTCTGTTTGCCTCAGTCTCCTCATCTGTAAAATGGAGATCATAATACCATCTACCTCCCAGGATAGTTGTGAGGACCAAATGAGATAATAATTGCAAAGTGCTTAGCACAGTGCCTAGAAGAACATATTAAGTGCCACATAAACGTTAGCTATCATCATCATCATCATCATCAATCTGAATAGGAACAGGGAGAGTTTGGGACAGGGATACCAGTGGCTATAGAATTATATTTGTAAAGTGACAAGGATCCAATATAGGGTGGAATAGAGGAGGAAAGAGAGGTTATGAAGGTAGACACAAAGACTTGGTCACTCACTACTAAGGGCAAGGGACAGGGACAATCGAATATCATTCTACAGTTTCAAGCCTAGGGGTTTGGAAGAATGATGTTAAAACTGATAGAAATAGGCCCATGGGAAGAGGGGAGAAAAAGCTGCTTTTTGGGGGAAATATTATTTTATTTTTTTTGATATGATGAACAAGAAGCTAGTGGGACCATGGTAGGAGAGCTTTGGGGAATGTCTACATTGCGGAGGAAGACAGACCACAGCTCTGTTTCTTACTAATTAACTCCTCAGAAGCTGTTTCCTCATCTATATAATGGGGCATTGGAATGAATGATTTCTAATATTTCTGCCAGCTCCACCAAAGAGCAGTTGGAAAGACATGAAAATCATTTTAGTGCAGTAACAGTGTCATAGAAACCAAGAAAGAACAAAGTTCCTCAACGGTCAGTTTTCAATAACAGTGTTTTTTTGGGGTTTTTTTTGGTTAGGCAATGGGGTTAAGTGACTTGCCCCGGGTCACACAGCTAGTAAGTGTTATGTGTCTGGTGTCTGAGGCTGGATTTGAACTCAGGTCCTCCTGAATCCAGGGCCAGTGCTCTATCCACTGCGCCACCTAGCTGACCCTCAATAACAGTGTTAAGTGCTGCAAGGAAGTCAAGGAGGATGAGGTCTGAGAAGAAGTCAGTGGATGTCATGATTAGGTTGCCACTGTCTACCTTTAAGGGAGATGTTTTGGTAGGAAGAAAGGAAGGAAAGGAAACAAGTATGTATGAAGTGCCTACTATGTGCCAGGCATTGTGCTGTGTGCTTTAAAGATACTCTCTCATTTGATCTCACAACAACCCTGGGAGGTTCTATTATAACCCCCATTTTACAGTTGAGGAAGCATGCAGAGAGAGGGCAAGTGACTTGCCCAGGAGCTAGTAAGTGCCTGAGGTCAAATTTGTACTCGTCTTTCTAACTCCATTTCTAGCACTTTATATGCTGAGCCAACTAGTAATAAAGAGAAGAAACTAGATTGAATGGGTAGAAGAAAGCATAAGTAGAGAGGAAGTAGATGTAGTCAGAATAGATCAAAAGGTCTGGCTACAAAAAAAAGGTGCAGCCCCGGCCCTGGAATCAGGAAGACCTGGGTTCAAATCCAGTCTCAGACCAAACACTTGACACTTACTAGCTGTGTGACCCTGGGCAAGTCACTTAACCCCAATTTCCTCGCCAAACGGAAAAAAAAAAGGTGAGGAAAATAAGGGTGGTAGCTAGAGAGGGCAACAGAGTCACCTAAAAGTTTTTTCAAGGTAAGTGAAGACTAAGATATTGTAGGCAGGGGGAAAAAAATCAGTGGAGAATAGATTGAATTCATAAGATAGGAAAGACAAGTCAAAGAGGAGGGGCAACTAGGTGGTGCAGTGGATAGAGGCTGGGCCCTGGAGTCAGGAGGACTTGAGTTCAAATTCGGCCTCAGACGCTCACTAGTTATGTGACCCTGGGCAAGTCACTTAACCGTTTTCCTCTCCCCAGAAAAAGTCATGGAGGAGACAGGAAAAAGAATGTTGGCATCTAGAAAGAAATTTTGAGTGGGAAGAAGGAAAGAAAGACGAAAGCAGTTCGACTTTCTTGGTAAAGAGAAGAGATAATCTGATGAAAGTGGAGAAATAGGAGAGACAGAGAAGGAAAGTGATTTGGAAAAGTCATTGAGGGAAACAATCAACAAGACAGGATTGTCAGTCAGGTACCCAGCTGAAGTTATGCTGTGGGATTTTGTATTGGGCTTGGTCAATGTTGTCCTGTGATTTTCTCTGGGAATATCCTATAACCCAGAGAACAAGAATGGAGAAAGCAGATGGTGGGGGTGAGATTTAAGGGACCAAGGAAGTTTGGGGTACCAATAAGCTCAAGTTAAAAGAGCTGATCAGTGTCCCAGTTGGACACGGAGTCCAACTGGTAAGATTCTAGGCATGTGGGATGCAGGAGAGGTGAAAGGTTTAGGCTTCAGTCAGAGTGAGGGCACAATGCTTTCAGATCCAATAAACAAATGCTTATTGGGCATCCAGCATGTGTAAGGCACTGTGCTTCTACCAGAAAGGCCAAAGATAGGAAGGACTTTGAGAAGCCTCTCTTTAGCTAGCTTTTCTTCTGACCACTGCTTCAAACCACAGGAATCCAGGACTATACTATAGAAACTATTAGCAGTAGCAAACACGGTGCCAGGTGAAACTTCAATAGGGCAGGATGTAGAGCTGTAACTAAGGAGTCTTGGCTGGTGGCCACCTGGTAGACTGTTCACCATGCACTGAAAGAAAAGGCTCAGGTTAAAGAATCAACCTGGGTTATTGAAAGGCATTCCTGTAACTGAGTTAAGCCCCGAGTAAGGGGCACCAGCAGCTGAGAAAAGGTACCTCCCACAGAAAATGCCCAGTGAAAGCATGCACCCGGGATCAAAACCCAAGGGGATCATTTGGATCAGAAGGAGCTTCTCTTCCTCTCCCCAGCTCCCAAAAAGCTAAAACACAGCAGAGCACATGTCACAACAAGCAACCATAATGCCCAAGTGCTGTGAACAAAGCTTTGAATTTTTAATTATGCAACATATTGGAATGTTAATGAGCAAGAAAATGCAGTTGGTATTAAAAAAAAAACCTTATGGAATTGGATTTAATCACTTCTACTCTCAATTCATTACTAAGCATGCATGATTTATAGGGATGCAGGGGGCTGGAATAAGACATAAACTATTATAATCCTCTGCAATCTAGGTACACCCATGATTTTAGTACTTATAGTGGGAGGCAAGGAAAGGATCTGAGACTTTTACCTAAGAAGGAAAAAAAAAAAGCAAATACTCTACCTCTGGATTCATAATCCCTTCTTTTTTAAAGCAGCTATAAAATATGTCCATGGAAAACACTTCACTCCACAAGTATCCATAATACTGGGCATCATAGCCTCCTGCCAAGTGTCCAAAAGTTGCTGGCATGTTCGTACCTTAAAAGAAACATAAAGACAAATCAGTGCCATGAATGAAGTCAATAGATAAGAAACTCTCAGCTGGCTAAAGTTTCCGTGCTGAAGGGGGTGCCTGTGGCTCTGACTTCCCCAGTAGTAAGGCTTGGATCACTGCCCTTGGCCAAGGTGTTTACAAAGGGCTCTCTTATCTGAGGCCCCAGCTTAGAGCTGGTTTCAGCTTTTAGTTCAGGAATGTCTAACAATAGTTTCAGAGGCCCTGCCCAAGCCCTTTAGATGTTTCCTAGCTCCTCCTTCTTCCCTCTTCAGATACTCATCTGTCTCTATAATGCCTATTAATCATATTCCTGCACCATCTCTTTATATTTTAAATAGTAACCGGGCATTAAATGTCTCAGGACTACAATTGGGTTTTAGGATAATAACCACTTAAATGGGTGTCTTTCATTTGAGAGCTATCAAAAGTGTCTCACTAATTAAATTTAATTTACTAATTTCTACCACAAAACTGCGAATAGCCTCTCTAACTACCATGGGGAATAACAGTGACCTGAGGCACAAAACTGCCCTGTTAATAGTCATATAAGTTAGATGACTGATTCTGATTGTTCTAATCTCTCTTCTGTCTTTACATGTGGCTCAATCCCTTCCACAAATATTTCCTTCATGAGTATCATTGTCCTGTCTTATATCTCACAGGGAACACAGAGTTAGAAGGGACTTCCAGCCATCTAGTTGAACTCCATCACTAGGCAAATGAAGAAACTGAGGACCACAGAGGTTAAATGACTTGACCAAGGTCAGAGAGTGTTGTTGTTATTTCTTATTCACCTCATACCACTATACCCACCATATCTCAGATTAGGGGTGGCTAGTGAGGTTAAAAAAAAAAAAAAGGAGGAGGAAGCCAGACTCTGCCAGTCCAATAAATTCAAAATAAGTCAGGTCAAACTATGCTTAATTTTTTGTTTCAGCCTTTAGGAGTCTGTGGCTCTGTAGAAGGATTTGTGTCCTTCCTTTCTAGCAGCTCCTTCAAGAGAGGAAGGGAGCAATCATTGCACAGGTGAGCTCCCAGGAGGCAGGAGTGCCTTCCCACCCCTCTAACTTTGACTCTTGTCTCATTGTAAGAATGGTGTTTCAGAAGGCTGTCCCCTGTGAAGGGGAAAAGCACAATTTCAAGTCATTTTGACAGGGTATCTTGGAAGCACCCGTGTACTTATTGGAAGTAATTATGACCTCACAGAAATTAAAAAAAAAATCCAGATAAGATTAGGTCATCAGTCTCTCCCAATTGCCTCCAGGATCAAATATCAAATCCTCAGTCTTTTAAAGCCCTTTCTTAACTTTATATCATACTTTCCTTCTCATACCTTACTCTCCCACCACATAAGAGTCTCTGGCCTCCTTGCTGGTCCTCGAAGACTGCACCTCCCAACTCTGCATTTTCACTGGCTATCCCTCATTCCTAGAATTCTCTCTCTCCTCTTCTCTGTCTCCTGGTTTCCTTCAAGTCTCAGCTAAAATCTTGCTTTAGGTAAGAATTCTTTTCCAGTCCTCCATTATGTTAGCTCCTCCCGTCTGAGAAGATCTCCAATTTATCCTGCACATATCTTGTTTGTAGCTGTGTGCATAATGTTTCCTTTTGTTAGGTGGTAAGCTTCTTTAGGGCAGGGACTGGTTTTGCCTTTCTTTGTGTCCCCAGTGCCTAGTAAAGTATCTGGAATAATAGTAAGCCCTTAATACGTGCTTCTAGTCTAGATCTGATTATCTTCCCCAGCAGGGTTATGCACATACGTACCCTAGGCTACACAGAAAAAAAAAAACCAAACCAAATCTTTGCATTTACATACCTGGGGTAGCTGAAATGCCTAGAATCTCTGAACAGTATTTGGCATATTCCTTTGAGGAGTCCAACGATGCATCAGTATGGAGAGCTTGATCAACTTTGCTCAATACAATCTGGCGGAGGGTCAAAAGACCTAGCAGAAGAAGGGGGAGGGGTAAGATTTTGACAAAGGAGAGGCGTGTGTTCTTTCTAACATGCTATGATCACAGATTCCAAATACTGATTCCAAAAGAAATAGTCACCTTCCCTGAAGAATAAGAACAAGTTACAAATTCTTTGAAAGAGTATTTTGGCACATAAAGGCTAATAAACTTTAGACTCATTCACAAACCCTGTCTACTCCAGCAAAATTATCTCTCATTATCACTAATGGGTATAGTGGTCTTAAGAAGGAGGAAACAGGATGAAGGAAAGGGCAGATAAGAATTTTGCACTCAAGTATTCTAGTTTCTTTTCTTTCCCAGCCTTTCCAGCCATACCTGTGTTGACCAGTCGAGAAGCAACAAGTTTTTCAAGGAGATCATCCGTTATAGGGTTCCCATCTTTATAGTGCTTTGAGAGGCGACGGAGGGAATCCTTGTCCCACACCCAGTTCTCAAGCATTTGGGAAGGCACCTCCACAAAGTCTGTTTCCACATTAGTTCCACTAAATCGAGCAAAATCAGTCTGGAAGGAAAGACATATAGGCCTTTACAGGAGGAAAACCTAAAAACATAAAATAACTGCAGCTTATATTTGTAGGGTTTACAGAATGTATTGTTATATTGCTGGATTCTCACAGTAATATTATTAAGTAGCTAGCTAGTATAATTCTTGCTATCTCCCTTCTCAGTAGAAGTAATGTGATTTGCCTGGCTTTTCAGGAGTCATAGCCAGACCTGGAATCCAGGGTCGTTTGACTCCAAATACATAGCTTTTTTCTATGTAAGAAACTGTACTACACTATTTCTCCCAAGTTACTTGGCAGTTAATTATATTCAATAAAATCGGAATAGAAAGAGCCCAAAACTAATAATCATAACCACAGAAATTTATATAGCACTTTATCATATACAAACTCTGGGAGGCATGACTTACATGTATTACATGTACGTGTACTAGTATGAGGAGAGCATTGGGCCTGGAGTCAGGAGGACCTGAGTTCAAATCCAGCCTCAGACACTTCCTAGCTGGGTGAACCTGGGCAAGTCATTTAACCTTTCTTTGCCGCTGTTTCTCAACTGTAAAATGAAGACAATTGCATCTACCTTGCAGAGTTGTTATGAGGACTGAATGAGATAATGCTGTAAGGTGCTTAGCACAGAGCCTGGCGCACAGTAGGTGCTATATAAATGCTTATTCCCTTCCTCTCACGTGTATTTTTTTCTCCCAGACTATCGGCTTAGGAAAGTCTCTGGTAAGGAAACTCACTCTATCAATGCAGTACAGTATCTGTCCTGCAATTTACTGCCTTAGAAAGATATCTGGGGGCAGCTAGGTGGCGCAGTAGATAGAGCACTGGCCCGGGATTCAGGAGGACCTGAGTTCAAATCCGGCCTCAGACACATAACATTTACTAGCTGTGTGACCCTGGGCAAGTCACTTAACCCCACTGCCTAAAATAACAACAACAAAAAAAAAGAAAGAAAGAAAGAAAGAAAGAAAGAAAGAAAGAAAGAAAGAAAGAAAGAAAGAAGAAAGAAGAAAGAAAGAAAGAAAAAGAAGAAAGAAAAGAAGAAAGAAAGAAAGAAAGAAAGAAAGAAAGAAAGAAAGAAAGAAAGAAAGAAAGAAAGAAAGATATCTGGGACACTGAGAATAAGTGACTTGCCCAGAATCACAAAGTCAAGATGTGTCAGAGGTGGACTTGACTCAGGCCTTTCTGACTCTGAGATCCATCCACTATGCCAAGCTGGCCTTTAGTACATGTATTAGTAAGCTTTTTACAGATGGGGAAACTGAGACTTAAAGAGAAGGTGATTAACTTCAGTGCTGGAACTAGAACTCTAGTCTGATTTCAAATCCAACCCTCTTTTCACTCTGACATTGCCTCTTACACACAAATCAAATAAAGCTGGAGTCAACTTTGCCCTCTAAAAAAGCAATATTAAAACAACCTCACGCATTCAAATGAAAATAAAATATTGTATTCAAGCAGCATGAAAAATAACCTGCTGAATAATCTATATTGAGCAATTATTTCATGATTCCTCAGCCTCTTGAAAAATCACCAGGAAGCCATGACTGACATGAATATTGGCCTGTACTAAAAATAAAAAACAAAACTCTTCACTTTGAAAGTCAAAATATTCTAAAGAACTTTCCATTCAAAACAAAGAGATCCATGATCCAGGAGAGGCAAGTTCACCTCAAGTCCCCTTCCAGCTGCTCACTCATGTTTATTCAACACACGGCTTCTTAGAACACTCATCACCCCTCTGCTTTTAAGTACTCAGTTATAGTCAGCAATCAAAGAGTTAAATTACCATACTATGAATTGCCTCCATATTTATTTTTTTATTCATTTTTGGAGGGAGAGGAAGAATTATAATCTAGGTTTAACGATGGTACGTTTACAGTCTCTGAAGAAGTGAAAATCAGCGACGGTGGCTAGGTGATGACTTGGAAGCTGCAAGACCTGATTTGGATGCTTATTTGCTGTGCTTACTAGTTGTGTGACCTTAGGAAAGTCACTCAAACTCTTCCAGTCTCAGCTTTCTCATTTGTTGTAAAATGGTGTTGGAGGAGAGGGAAGATAACAGCACCTACTTCCTAGGATCAAATGAGATGATGTATGCAAAGAACTGTGTAAATACTAGCTATTATTGTTATTGTTAGGTGTATAACAAACCTGAGTAGATGGAAAACTTTACAAATAAGGAATTATGAAGAAGAAATGGTGGAAAGAATGTCATCAAAGAAACTATGGATGAAAAAGAAGACCTACTAGCCAGGGCTGAAAGCAGGGGATCACTGAGCCTAGATATCACTGGAGAACATCAAGAAGAGTGAGGAAGGCCCAATTAATCAATCAATAAATATTTATTAAGTTCTTACTATGTGCCAGGGTAACTAGGTGGCACAGTGGATAGAGTGCCAGACCTGAAGTCAGGAGGACCTGAATTCAAATCCAGTTTCCAGGCAATTACTAGCTGTGTGACCCTGGACAAGTCACTTAGCCCTGTTTGCCTCAGTTTCCTCATTTGTAAAATAAGCTGGAGAAGGAAACAGCAAACCACTCTATTATCTTTGCTATGCAAACCCGAAGTGGGATCACAAAGAGTCAGACATAACTAAAATGAATGAACCACAAATGCATAGTGTAAGGGCCAGAAGCCTCCTCCTCTCCTCACTTACCTCATTAGATAGCTCTAATAACGGTGGGTGTGGTGGTAAAAGTTGAATAAGAAATATCAACAAAACTTCTTGACCAAGTTACTTCACCTCACAAAAGGTAGACCCCAGTGAGGAAGTTGTAAGAGGGCGTGGGCAGAAGTCATACAGGATGGACTGGCATGGATGTGCTGGGATCTGCATCACAGAAGGAAATACCTCAATGAGATCAGCTAACTCTCTGTGCACAGATCATTAAGAAGAAAAGCAAAAAGACTAAGTGAGTTTAGGCTCTCTTTTGGGATGTCCACCAAGCACTTGCGTGCCTCAAGACAAAAAGAAAACATCCTTTAGTGGAAAATGAGAGGAATTATTGGTTGGGGAGGGAGAGGGGCAAGGAGAGAAGGAGACTTCAGCAGAATGGAGGAATCATATAATTTAGAGAGCAATTACAGGCTTCAGAGATTATCTAATCCAACTTTCTCATTTCTAAAATGAGGAAACAGGCCCAGAGAGAAGAAATAACTTGCTAAGGGTCACATAGGTAGGAACTAATATAGGCTTTGATCCCAAGTTTCTAGTCTATATCCAATGCTCTGTCCAACAGAAGAAAGCAAGCTCCTTTTTTTGGCTAGGCAATGGAGTTAAGTGACTTGCCCAGGGTCACACAGCTAGTAAGTATCAAGTGTCTAAGGCCAGATTTGAACTCAGGTTCTCTTGACTCCAGGGCCAGTGCTTTATCCCCTGTGCCACCTAGCTGCCCCAGAAAGCAAGCTTCTTGAAGAAGGAGATTGTCTCACTTAGTACAGAGTAAGTAAGCATTGCAATTCTACAAGAATTTCCTAAAAATAAGAATTTTCCAAAAGTAGAAGGAAGTCTTGAGAGTAGGCACGTTCTCTGTTGTTGGATGTCTTCAACCAGAGGCCAGACGACCATTTGTTGAGATTGCCGGAGAAGGAACTTCTGTGCAGGATGGATTAGGGAGCTTCAGAGGTCTCTTCTAACTTAAATTCTATGACTGCATATGTAGGGACCTGAGGTCACAAAGACCTGGGTTCAAGTCCAGGCTCAGACCCTTACTAGCTGAGCTACCTTAGGCAAGTCACTTAACCTTATTTGTTTTAATCCACTGGAGAATGAAATAGCAAAGCACTCCAGTATCTTTACTAAGAAAACCCCACGGACAGAAAGGTCCAAGGAGGTCATGAAGAGTCAGACATGACTGAACAACAACAAAAGAAAAAATGACATTGGAAAAGGTAAAGAACTAATTACGGGCTTTGGATAATAGATTTTAAAAAATAGAACTATTAAAGTTAGTCAAGCAAAAAACAAACATCTCAGGCAAAAAAATTCAGTATCACTGGTATGAGTCAGTGCTTTTTAACCTGTTTATACTCTACAGCACATTTGTAAATTGCCACAGGCAGTGGAAACATGGCCCCCTTCCAACTGGGCAGCAGAGAGAATAGTGATCATCTGGTCTTTTCTCCCCAAATCTTTACTCCTGTTCCTGTTTCTCTTATACTGTTCTCACTTGGTCCACTTTTATTTCTTCAATATCCTCACCCCTGGGCCTTAGCTAAAGGGGCAACTGAAAAAGGATGTTTCTGTCTATAGCAAGAGTTAACAGATGGGACGTCGGATTGGCAGTTCCCACTATTTTGTTCTCTGCTCTAGGCAGGAGCACAGATGTCAATCCAGTCTTGCTTTCTGCTGCCCTCTTTTTAAACAAGAAAAATAAAAGATTGCTCAGATTCCTATGAAAACTAGGCTGATTATTGAGGTAGGAACTGCAAGTATCAAAGAACAGAAAGAATTGGAGGGGTAGAGCCAAGATGGCAGAGAGAAGTCAGGAAGCTGCCTGAGCTCTCCTCAGTTTCCCTCAGAAACAACATTAAATTAAACCTCTAAAAGAATTCTGGAGTGACAGAATCCACAAAAAGACAGAGTGAAAAAAATTTTTCTGGCCCAAGATAACTTAGAAGGACTTCAGAAGAGGCCTGTTTCATTTGGATAAAAGAGGAGTGGAGCCCAGTGTAGGTGAGAGGCTGTTAGCCCCAATACAGATCAGCAACTGAGGCTGCACAGTCCTGACTCAGCAGGCCAGTGGCACAGTAGGTCAGCTGTGAGGCCCCCAGCCCCAGTGCAGCAAGCAAACTGCCAGTTCCAGCATCCAGGGCACAACAGGCGCAACTAGGCTGGGCCACCCTAGTGCAGTGGGCAGGCTGCCAGCTCCAGCGGCCCTGGTGCAGAAAGCTAGTGACCAGCCTCTGATCCCTAGCACAAGAACCTTGGGACAGTGCCCCATGTATCCCAGAAGCAGAGCTCAACTTTAAAAAGTGAGCAAAAACCAA